ATCATAAGTTACTTTTGTAAAGGATATTGTAATAAAAAGTATAGTTCACTGTCATTTCAAAGATATTTTATACTAAAGCAAGTCTTACTACAAGGTAAGTGATATTTTTCTCTGGAATTTATGCTAAATGAAGAGTTGTGTAAACCCTTTCTATCACTGTGCCATTTGCTTGATCCTGCGAAGGAGGAGAAGACTGATAGCTTGAATTCTCTCTCCCAATTCATAAAAGTAGCAAGGAGGATGGAAAATTCCAAATTCTCTTTAAACTATAGTGTTGTGAATATCTAGGAAGGATTCGTTCATACGAAGTAGTATACTTGATTCTGCCTCACGAGATCATTACAGTAGAGCAGAAGCTCTGAAGCATAAAAATTCGTTGGCACCTAAGAAGGTTCTTTACACAGGTTTTCTCATCTTATTACCTGTGTCATTCAATAGGTTGAATCTCTAAAGCAAAGGTTCTTACTTTTAGGTGGAAATCTTAAGTATCATTCCATAGTTGCCAATATACTGAAGCAAATAAAATAGAAGTTTCTTTCTTTATTAAAGTTTTTGGGCCAGATTTAGCCATGTTTAGTATCTGCTGTTCTTATCAATGAATGTCAAGTTAGGTGTTCAGCAAGCATGGCTCCTCTGTGTGAGTGTCTGCTCATCCTTGCCTATGTTACTATCGACATTAGTTATGGTGGTTTGTGCTGATGGCATTTTTTTTTCCAATATAAAGCCACAGATGACTGCTAGCACTTACGTCAAATGAAAGGATGTTTCTTCAAAAACTCCATTCTGTATTTTTTTTGTTCAAAAAGTTTGGTAGACGTATTAAACTATATTCCAGAAAATGTTATATATTCCCTTTTTTTGGAGGGACAGTGGAAGCTAGAGGGTTTGCAAGTTGTCCTTTTTATGTCAAGTTCATCCCGTAGTCTGAATATTCCCCATCCAGAATATATTTGTAAGTAGATTTAACAGCAAATTTAAAAGCAAACAATTCCAGAAAAAAAAAAAAGCCTCTGTCTTTGCTGTTTAGATTTATGTAGTGCAAACACAATCTCTGTCCAGAAGAGAGATAATCCAGGGCAGAGCATGCCCCATCCCAGGGTTCAGGCCAGTATAACTAGAGGATTAAAATTCTATACCCAGGAGAAGAGGGAGGGATGCGTGTTTTTAAATTTTCTGAGGTCACGATTACAGCGATTGTTTCAAGTTGCAGAACAGTTCAGAACGTTAGCATAAATCCTAGAGAAAGAGAGTAGTGTTCAGAGCAAAATGAGAAGTTAGTATTGTGTGCAAGTTTGAAGTGTACTTACTATAGTATACTGTAGAAATCTACGCTGCATATGCGTTATTTTTTAGAGTAAATTATATCATTTGGGCTTGCAGGATGTAATGTTGCAAAGTATTGGCAACTTAGTAGACCCACAACTGCAGTAACATGACTTTCTCAGTGAGAAATGCAAATATTATGAATTTGCACATCCAGATGTGAAGGATAGTGTAACTAAACAAGTAAGAAAAATTAGGGCACAATAAGTTTGTTTTCCTACAACTTATATCTTTCTTCAACAGTAATTGAGCAAAAAATGTCTTTGAAACTTCAGAAAAACTGTCTTTTCAATGGGGGTTACAGTAGCTGGGGATCAGGGAGGGAGACTCTTCTCCAGAATAATTACTCATCCCAGCTAGTTGGGCATTTATACTGTCTTCTAAGATGTCCTGAAGACAATATGCTACTCTATAATATGAAGTAGTTTAAATGCAAATAACTGTTAAACCACTGAATAAATTTAGTAATATAGAAAACTTTATATGATTTCTGTTCCACACACTAGTTTAAATCACACTGAGGGAAAGAAAGTCAGTTTTAAACGTGCTGTTCACATCTATTGTTATCTGTTCTTTTATCACACCACTTACTTCAGTTCAAAGTAAAGTCAAATAACAGCTATAACCAGTGTCTTGCAGTACATGTGTTAAACATTTGGATTAGATTCCAAAGTGTACTTGATGAGCACACATACAAGCTCTTCAGAACAATAGAAGGTCATCTTGGTTAAAAATTAACAGATTTTGACCATCTTTGGACACGAGTGTGAAGCAGCACTTTAGTGGTGGTTGGTTATACTAGCATCATGTTGCATAAAGAGATAAGCATTGATAGATTGATAATAAGCTCCATGAAGAAACACCATTGGATAAACAAACAGATATATTGAACTTTCTAAATGATTTTCAAGCATGACAGAAATAGCTTCCTACCCAAATGGAGGCAGAGCCATCCTTGGCCACTAATAGTACTGGACACCAACAAGTAAATTTCCTGGTTACAAATAATGTTAATAGAAGGATGCTGTGATGCTTTCCAAGTCAAGGCATCATATGGCGTAAGCGGTGACTTCTGCAGCTGCTTTCTGTCAGCCAGCTACCCTTTTCTCCTACTCCATTAAGATTGATAATTGCCATTAAAATTGATATTGCCATTAAAATTGATATTGCCTGTTCAAGCCTCTCTTATGCCAATACTGAAAAGGTAAGTAAATCTGCAGCCAGCCAAGCCAAAGGCTCAATGAAAAAGAATTTGGGGAATCTGTAAGGACCCGATGTTTAGACAATTCACTAAAAACACTGTTTGCATGCTTTAAAACCTGTCATTCTTAGCCTGACCTCCTCCTAGCTGACACATTTGTTGTATATTTGCAACTGAGATCCTTTGTACCTGATGCTTCTGGCTTAAGAGTTTTATTATGGCAATGCTTTGGTATTGACAGTATTCTTGGACTTGAGCCAAGTTACCTGTTCACCATCCAGTTCAATGGCAAAAACCTACCTTTAGAATTGCTAAGGGTAAAGGTGGCAGAAAGTGTAATTTTATCCTTTCTTTATGGGAGGAACCCCTTAAAGATTTCTTCTGCTTCTAACCTCACTCTGTATAGCTTTCCGGTTTCCTGCTCTGTAACCATCTAGCATGAAGTCTGTTATTTAGGCTGTAGGTGTTTGAACTTGAATCCCTATGCTTAGAACAACTTAACCCAACAACTTAACTTAATCTTTGTTCATATGTATTGGCTTATGTTAATAAACAAACGAAATAAAAACAAAGGAGTCGTGAAGGTTCATTGGGAGAGCTGGTCAGAAACAGAAAATTGCTGAATGAGAACTTGCAGCTCATTCAGGTAACTGGCTTAGCCCTATATGCTTCACCAGAAAACGTTTTTTATTTCCTAAAGGTTCAGCCTGTATTAATACACTGATTTAAAATAGTAAGAGCAGCCCTGGTGCAAGTCCATACAAAAAGAAGTGAATGAGATCTGTAGTGACTCAAACTTTATTCTACATATAAAGATACAATTTTAGAAAGCCAGTATTTGATAGAACAGTGATGTGATCCATTTGTCAGCTAGCTTACAGCCCATAATTAGTATTACTGAGATGGACTGGAATTCACATGAGAGAACTTCACTTGGTTCCATTTAGCAGATCTGTGTGCATCTTTAGCAATGCAACTTTTGAATTGCTATAGTGTGGTCAGAAACTGCTTTTTAAATAAAATTGAGTAATAAGTATGCAGATATTCATACTATTTTTGAGTATCTTTGATGAAGAGCGTTAAGTTAGACATTGGATATATTAATATAAATATATTGCTGGCTATGAAAACAAGATTCTTCTACAAAGGAGTTATTAAACCTTATTTAAAAGGGATGAAGATGTTCCAGATTTCAGTGATAGTTTCATTATATCTTGATGATTCATAGCCCATGCCAGTAAATAAGCCTTCTGATTTGTTTATACACTGTTGGTTTGAAACCTTGACGTGTGTGAGCAGACCACAATGTTTAATGCAGTGCTGTGCCATGCTGTTTGCAGACAAGTTGTATAATTCATGTCCTGTCCCTCTCTTATGCCACCATAGGGCAAGTTTTAACCTTTTTTATGTCCTGTATCTTAATAAGCTTTTTACTCTGCCAAATAATTTTTAGCTAGTTTAGAAACTGAAGTGGTCAACTACTTTGTTGGATTCTTCTGAGCTATTTATCTTGTTATTTATTCTGTAGCTCTGAGATTGGATTGATTGATATGCTGTATGACAGTATACATAAAATATGTCTATTTAAAAAGTATTGACTGTTTTTCTTGTGTTATGGAATAGAAGCTTCTAGGTACCCGCTGGAATCTCTTCTTCCTCTTCCCTGTTTTTTTTGGATCAAATTGCCTTCCTGTTGTAATGCCATCTCTTTTTGTCCTGAAAGTTGGGAATCACATTTTTTCCCCCCTGCTTTCCATCTTTTCTATTTTGTATAGACTTTTTTTTTTTTTTAAACTTAGTAACGGGAATGAGAATGTTCCATCAGTTTTCACTATGATTATCTGTCATTTTCCAGTTGTCTTCCCATTCTTAATGAGAAGAAACCTAGACAGTATGCACAGGTCAAGTCCTGGCTTACCATGCATAACATATATTAAAGACTGCAAGACAGAGTGTCTGTTTCTCAAACCACAGTAATATACATAATTCAATCTCAAAATAGAAGTGTTTCATGTACATACAATGCCAGTTTGTTGCACGAAGTCCTACCTTGCTCTAAAAAGTGAACTAAGAGAGACCTTTCTACTTTCTGTCGTGGTAGCTGGGAAGGACTTGTTCAGTTACTGTTTTTTGACTATTGCTATGTATCGTAAAGATGTCTAAATTGAAATGTTAATACTACTCTGAAAAGAAAGCAGACAGCATTAATAGCAAGTATCTTGAACTCTCAGTATCAAACTAGGCAAAGTCGTTCATAAATAAATACAGCTTATTCTTTTATTTTTTAAAATATTCACCCAGGACTACTTGCAGCTTCAATTGTTCATGAAAAGCTGTATTCAGACAATTATGTAAGGAAAATATAAGTAGATACTTAACAACTCTGTTTCCTTTGTAACCCAACTAAAATAATGTCAGTATCATTGAACAATAAGTTTGTTTGGCAGCTGTAGTAACATCATTCCCTCCTTTTTAGACACTTCAAGAAACCATGCGCAGCAGCGTGAGATTTTACAGCACATACAAAACATCTTCAGGATTTGGTTTCTAACAAGCGGATGTGTGATCTTCCCCCTCCCCCTTTTTTGCCGTCAAGTGCTACCAGAGCATCAGTAGTTTACATGTCTTTACTCTCTGTTGATGAAATATTTGCTGATGATCCTGCTGGAGATAAAAATATTTGTCTGCATCAAAAATTGTATTTTGTGGAAACAGGTTAATATAAATTACACTCCATGGTTTCTGCGCTTTTAAAGAGCCTGATCTCATCTTACATATATAAGATTTGCAAAGGAATGTTTACAAAGAAACCGGGAAATAGTACAAAAAAGAAAGAGAGTTTTCAGAGCAAAAAGGAACAAGACTTATCCCAGATTGGGCAAACAAAGAATCCAAAATTTTCAAATACTTTGAAAAGTACTGTTAAAAAGATTGCCAAATGTCCATCTGCTCGCAACTTATCAGCTGAAGAAGAGGAAAGTAATAGAGAATTTTCGCTTTCTCCAACATTCAGTTACAGAGTTGCTATTGCCAATGGACTGCAAAAGCATGTTTTTGTAACAGACAATACTAATGAAGATATAGTTCAAGATCTGTCTTCAAATGATAGTTCATGTTCTGAATCGTTAAGTGAAGAAAAAAGTAACAGCAAGAAAAAGGAATATTTATCACACACAATGCCTGTGAGACGCAACCGAAAAAGTTTAAGCAGCCTTGCACCATCTGATGGAAGCTCTGATGGAGAACGCACTTTACACACACTAAAGCTGGGAGCTTTACGAAAATTAAGGAAATGGAAGAAGAGTCAAGAATGTGTCTCATCAGACTCGGAGCTAAGTACATGGAAAAAAACATGGGGCTTAAGAAGCAAGTCTTTAGACAGAACTGGTCGCCACCAGAAGTCAAATACTCTTGAACCTGGCTTTAGTTCGACGGGTTGCATTAGTCAAACGCATGATGTTATGGAAATGATCTTTAAAGAGCTTCAGGGAATCAGTCAGATTGAAACAGAACTTTCTGAATTAAGAGGACATGTAAATGCTCTAAAACAATCAATTGATGAAATTTCTAGTAGTGTGGAAGTTGTACAAAGTGAAATTGAACAATTGCGAACTGGATTTGTACAGTCTAGAAGAGAAACTCGAGACATACACGACTACATTAAGCAAATAGGCCATCCAGCAGACAAGGCAAGTCTTAGGTTTCTAAATGTGCCTGAAGAGAGTTTTGAAAAAACTGAAAATACAGTTTACAAAATATTGATAGATAAAATGGGGTTCTCAGAGGCACAAAGCACTATTAAGATTGAATTTGCTCAAAGACTGGGGCAACAGAGAGACTGTCCAAATGCAAAGCCAAGACCAATTCTTGTTTACTTTGAGTCATCACAACATAGGGATTTGATTTTAAAAAAGTCTTACAAACTTAAGGGGACTGGCATTGGAATTTCTACGGATATTTTTCTCCATGACATGAAAGAGAAAAAAGAAAGAGGACTGCCCTCCTCTCAAACATATGAGAGTATGGATATGAAGCTGTTAACTGTGGAGACAAAAACTAAAAAGCATGATTGGGAGTCACCTGACAGTGATAAAGAAGTGGAATCAGATATAAATAAGAACAGTTATGCAAAGATATCTAAATCAGCACTTCAAGTAAAAACAAGCCCTACCAAGGGGAGTATCCAGTCACCAAATACTAGAGACCTTAGTAGAACTGGGGACAGCAGCACTTTTTCAAACAGAAGGAATTACGGTGATCAGTCACCAGAATTTGGCAATATGGAAAGCCAGTCAAAGGCCTACTCTTCAGACATGACCCCTGTATGGCATTTGCCAAATGACTTTGCAACAGCAAAACTTAGTCGTTCTGAGTCAGATTTCTCAAAATTGTGTCAGTCTTATTCTGACGATTTTTCAGAAAATCAGTATTTCAGCAGAACAAATGGCAGCTCACTATTATCTTCCTCAGATCGCGAACTTTGGCAAAGAAGGCAAGAGGATTCTACCAACTGGTATGGTAGCTCCCAGGAACAGACTTTTGCCCAAGGGGTGCAACAGTATCCAATGCAAAATGAAGTAGAGAACACAGAAACAGCTGACAGTGGAGTAAGCAATGGAATACTAGGTGTATCTGGAGACAGAAGCCACTATAGTGGCTCCCAGCTTTCTTTCCATGATGATCTTTCACCATGGAAAGAATGGAGTCAGTTGGAAAAAGGGGCGGATTTGGCCTTAGACTCATCCACCCAAGAAGTTTTTGCATACGATATGAGCAGCCCTTCAGATCAACAGATGGATTTCGGAAAGTGCCAAAGTTCTGATCTCCAATATGACACTGAGAGTTACGATTTTACCCTTGATGGTACTTCTCCATCATGTCCAGGCCTTGACAGTGAATCACAAAGTCAGTGGACTGGTCAATATGATGATTATCAAGAAACAAATTCTAACTCCCTTTATCAGAGTCAGAACAGATTGTCTATGATGTACCGAAGTCAGAGTGAACTACCAAGCGATGACTCAGAAGAAGCACCCCCTAAATCATGGCACAGCCGATTAAGCATAGATCTTTCAGATAAAACTTTCAGCTTTCCTAAATTTGGATCTACGCTTCAACGTGCTAAGTCAGCATTAGAGGTAGTCTGGAATAAAAGCACACAAAGTTTAAGTGGGTATGAAGACAGTGGGTCGTCTTTCATGGGAAGGTTTAGGACTTTATCTCAGTCTACTGCAAATGAATCAAGCACAACACTCGATTCCGATGTTTACGCTGAGCCCTATTACTACAAAGCGGAGGATGAGGAAGACTTAATTGAGCCAGCTGGTGAGAATGAAACAGATTATGTAGAAGTAATGGAACAAGTCCTTGCTAAACTAGAAAATAGAACTAATACTAGTGAAACAAGTGAGCAGATCCAAGAATATGAACTGGAACAGCCTTCGTATGAAACTCCTTATGCAACACTACAAGAGGAGGAATATGACAGACAGTTTGACAGTGTGGCCGTTGAAGAGATATTGGAAGTTGCAGGTGACATGGTTGTTGACATAGAAATAAAGGAAGATGAAAATCAGAATGTCCCAGAGGTGCCTACTGAAACTCCAAAGAAAAAAAGAATACGACCATCGTTTAAAGAAGCTGCTTTAAAAGCATACAAGAAGCAAATGAGTGAGTTGGAAGAGAAGATCCTTGCTGGAGGTAATAACATTAAAATATTATCTTTTAAACAAAATATTGTTCTTTGTAAAGTTGGTCATTAGTTTCTGTATGATATCCAATTTTGCTTCCATGGAATTTGGTGATTTCTGGTTTTACTCTCACAGTGAAATTGTTATCCTGAGGATTCAGAAGGCTAAAACTTTATCCCAAGTATATTTTGAAAAGATTTTCTTAATATATCAAACAGGTGTTTATAAGCAATTGTTTTACTTTGAATCAAATGTACTTTAAGTCTTTTGCAGTTTAATTTTTAAACTCTTGTTAAAAGAACTAGACAGGAGACTATTCTTAGAGTTGTCATAAAGCTTTATAAATGTATTCCCAGGAGCAATCCAGAGGGTTCAGATACTGTACTGTTTCCTTTAACAGTTTTATAGACATGGCTGGTTCTGTACTCACCCTCATGAGCAGTGGTTTGCAAGCTATAATTTGCTGTGTAATTTTGATGAGAGTGCAAGTCTAAACTGATCTAAATTCTTTCTATCTGTACTCATATAAATCCTCAGATAAGTAGGTGGTTCTCAGAAAAGAAAAGAAAAAAGGAAAAAAAAAAGAAGAGGTGTAAATGATAGCACCCCTGTATAAGGAAAAAAAGTCTTAACTCACAGAAGGTTTTGAGAGAAATTTTTTTTTTCCATGATCTTTATGTTCTGTGCTAAGAGACCATAAAGCAGACAATGAATGAATATATATAATTTTAATACCTCTTGTAATAAAAAAGATGGTGATTTTCAAGATTAATCAACATCGAAATGTTGACATTATAATACCGCAAGTGCATTTAATTGGTAGTGCGTAATTAGCCCAGCTAGCCAGATGGTAATTGTCACCTTGACTGAATCTTTGCTTTCTTTGTCTGTCTTGCAAAAATAATAATCTGAGACATTTGTTTTAAAGATGAAGAACTATGCCATTAGCCAGAGTGTATTTAGTAGTAATTAGTATCTCAGGTTTTGAATGCGATGTTTCTTTTGTATTGGGTAACTACTTTTCCAATTAACGTGCAGTCATATTAGAAGTGTTGAATAAACAGTTAAAAATTGCTGGTATGAAAGTCTATTTTTAAGACTGAAATAATGATACTAGGTTATAGATTTTGCATTTTGCAGATATGTTTCTACAGAACTGTTAGACACAAGGTGGTATACGTACCAAGAATCAGCTAGCAATAGTTAGTTTTTTCATTACTTTTTCATTGTTAAACGCTCTGAGGTGTGTGGAGGGGAACCCAGTTGTTGTATCTAGTCGTTCTTGTACAATAGGAACGTAAAAGGCCTGGGGAGGTAATTTAAGAAGGCACGTGTGGAAGATGCAGTGAAATCCATATTGCTGCCAGTATATTGTCTCGTCCTTAGTGTGTGTTATTAGATAACATGGGTTGTGGTTAGAAAATGAGAAGTTACTTTTGATATTGCATCTCGTGGGATCAGCCATACGAATTATAGAAAGTATTCTCGTTCTTCCTTTAATCTAGCAGGTGAAGAATGTCTATTTCAGTCTCTTACAGTCTACTGAAGTCTTTTTTTTTTTTTTGTGAATTATTGAAGTACTTCTTGTCGTATATTTACAGAGAAGCCAGCTGGCCCAAAAGTCCAATGTATGAAAAAGTGTAATTGGATGAAGACTATGGGGTGTAGAGTGTCTGCAGTTATAAAACGTCATATTAGGGCCTCCAAAATTTTCACTTTTACTGAAATAGAGAAGGGAGTACAGCAAGGGGTTAAAGGTAATTAACAGACTGGCTGCTACAACAGTGGTACTTGTCAGATTACCCTAATCCTGGAAACGGAACGCATTGACATTTGAGTAGCAGTTGTATTTTCTCTCCACACTTTCTGTTTTCGGCACCCATGGGGAGGAGATGTGTTCTTCTCAGTAATTCTGCTTCAGCAGTTAGTAACTGATTTGTT